ACAAATCCCTCGTATTCCTTTTGTTCAGCCATGATTGATTTTTGTGGGGTTACAACTTTAAAAAGATGTTTCATACTTAACAAAATGAAAAATTGAGCTGTTTTGCTTTCTTCAAAAAAGTAAATCGTTAGTGATGTTAATCGTTTTCACACCAAAAAAGTGAAAAGAACGTGATTGTAATCGTTTCAGTTTATGTGAAAAACGAGAAAGGACTTGTTTCTCTGTTTTCAATTTTGACTGCAATTTTGACTGCAGTTTCGAGGAGGCGTCACGGACGTCTCTGAGCACTTCTCAACAGGAAATCTGCCTTTGGGAGTGCGAGAAATTTGGGTTGCACCATCTTTCACTTTAGAAGCAACAAATCCCTCGTATTCCTTTTGTTCAGCCGTGATTGATTTGGTGGGTTACAATTTTAGAAAGATGTTTCTTACATTAAAAAATGAAACACTTAGCTGCTTTTCATTCTTTAAAAAAGTAAGTCAATACATTATTGAGGTCAATCGTTTTCACACCGAAAATATAAAAAAGAATGTGATTGTAGTCGTTTTTCATTTTTTATGAAAGATTAGAAATGACTTCTTTCTTTTTTTTTTCAATTTTTGTTTTTAAATCGGAAAACAAGAAATAACTAATTTTTCGATTTTCCTTTTTTGTTCTTAAATCTAAAAATGGAAAACGACTTTTTTGTTTTTATTTTCGTTTTCAAATCGAAACACGAGCAAACGAAACGTACACGGGCCGTACACGGACTTGCAGCCACTACCATTAACTTGTGCGCAATTTCAAGTAATTCAGCCACGGCCAAGACTCTGCATCACGAACATGGAAGGCTAGTAGCCCATGTATGCTCATATGATAATGTCATCAGCGTAATCAAATTAATGCAAACGTGGAGACCAATATGCAAAAAGGTAGAAATGAAGTACTTTGAACTATTCATACACACCCAATATTCGCAGATACCAACAACAGCCCCTAAGGATCAGCAAGATAGGATGAGAAGATGTCGGCCAATAGCAGAAATTTTGTGGAGACGGGAGGAATTATTTTAGTCATGTGACCGTGGTGGCCCCAACTTAAAGATCTCTCAACCAATCAGTGTCTTTAGGTTTGAGAACATGACATCGACGTCTTTGGCCAAGACTACCTGGCAGTCCATGCCTATACTAATACTGCGTTAAACCTGATTTCCACGAACGTAACGAAGGCAGACCGCACACGAGACGTCAAGAAACACTTAGTGACATTATTCCATAATGTCATCCGAAATTCGAAAAAAATGTTTGCACAAAATGCCCTTTGGCAAACTGATAATATTTTATGTACAGGCAGCTACTGTTTACTGTCTGGGCGTCATGTGTTTATGACATATTTACAATATTACAATAACCTTGACCAATGTCGATTGGACAAGGTTAGCTAGTATACAAACAACTCAGATCAATTTCAATTCAATTTGTGACAAATAATTACACTTTCATAAAACATGCCTCCTTTTTAATTTACCTCCAAAATACCAGAGTCATAATAATTGATTGTGGCGACCTGTTCATCGTTAAAATTGCCCTGTGGAGATAACCTATTGTCCTTTTTCAGTCATTATTTCTCGTTCTCCAGTAAGAGAGATCTGTAATGTTTTTGCAGCCCTTAAATTGTATTCATTTAATTATTTGTGCTTTATTTCTTTCAGGGAGCTCGTAATCCGTGCTCTTTCGTTTGCAAGATTTTCCCCAAATAAAAAAGCTTAATTTTTGTTCTTCACAATTTCTACGTTAAAGTGTAAAAAAATGGAAAGTTTCCCTTTACTCCCAGACTGGCAGTCCGACAAGGATAAACTGACAACAATTGTTCATAATACCTCCGTTATCTTCCATCCAGGATCATCAGCAGCTCAAATGACCACAACAGACATGACTACCGAAGATGAGGAAACAGCATCCACTGAACTAACAAGTACACAGGAACCAACAACACCTGAGCTAACAAGTACACAGGAACCAACAACACCTGAACTAACAAGTACACAGGAACCAACAACACCAGAACTAACAAGTACACAGGAACCAACAACACCTG